AATTGAAAGAGAATTATACTGTTCGGCTGGTGGTTTAAATCCAGGCAGAATACACATCTTACTTGGCATGTAATTTAGCGGGTTTAAATACTCAAACCTATGCCTCTCTCCCTTAATACTGCTCCCTGAATGTGAATACAGTGGCTGGCAGTCTGTAAGGCATTCGTGTAAGGAGCAGCGCTAATTGGATATGGGCACATTATTCTGGTTGCATTTCATTTTTCAAAGTGCTGGAAAATTCTTGCAACTTTTTCAATAAACTTTCAGAGTGAATTCCACATGCCAGGCACTGGGCTGGGTGTAGGGAACAGTCTCTCTCCTCCACAAACCCTGTTCTGAAAGCAGGAGTGTGTCAAATGGAGACAACAGTCAGCTCACCACCAAATTTATTAAAACATGTATAATTGAGGGTCAACTACCTTCCAGAGCTAGGCATGGGTAAAACAAAACACCAAGGCCCCTGCCATTCACGAGGCTTCATTGAAACCTTCACTGAATGATGGAGTGTGCCGAGAAAGGTGCAACGTGCTGAGTGAGGCATGGAATCAGTTTGAAACCTGCTCCCTGTCCTAGGGAATTTTTAAGTTACTAGAGGAGATGAGAGTAAAATGAGGCAGTTGGTAGTCTACAGGGATAAACTGAATGGAAGAGGCCACAGTGTGGTGGAGACCCAGACAGCAACAGGGAAGGGCTCGCCAGCGGGGCAGGATCAGAGGAGCTGTGCCTGGGCTGGAAGTCTTAGTTTCACTGCACGGATGAGGGACTGGAGAGCCTTGCAGGCGAGGCAACCTCAGTAAGCAAGCACTGCAGGATGGCTGGTCACGACAGGTTTGCAGAACGTTGCTCTAGCCTTGCCAGGAGGGTGGATTTCATTCATTTTTCCATAACACTTTCTTGAGTGCTCATCTTGTGCTGAATACTGTTCACCAGGCACAGTGGTGAGCAAAGTCCCTTCCCCATGGAGCTAACATTCTGAGGAGACTACACAGTTAAACATGTAAATAAGTCAGACAATTTTAGAGAGTGGCAAGAAAATAAAGCAGGACAGGGCAATATAGGGCAAAAGGGATGGGAGAACTGTTGTAAAAAGAGTGGTAAGTGTGAGCGTCAGCGTGTGGGAGGGGCAAAGTTTGTGATGTGGAGGTAGGAAATAGTGAGCCATGGCAGGTCTCTGAGCAGAGGAAGCAGTGGTTATGAAAGGTCAGAGGGACAGTTGATGGGATAGCAAGAGCTTGGGGTTAAGCAGGCCAGATAGGAGTAGATTCTAATTATCTAGGTGTAAGGAAGTTCTGGCAAGCTGGTATCTGTGGGAAAAGAGAAGATACAAGAGGGATTTATTTAGAAGGGGATTCCACTGGGCTGGGTGATTAACTGGGCATGGAGAAGGTGGAAGAATGAATGACTATGCATCCAGAGGGAGGGCAGATGGGTGATGTGGTGGGTTGCCATATTGAGGCATCCATGTAGAAGGGCTTATTAGGTGGATGGAGAAATGGACAAAGAGTCAGGTGAGAGAAGCAGACAGGAGATATTGTTGGAGAGTCATAAAGCATGCTCTAGGAAGAGACGAATGTTCTAAAGGCAAAAGGGAAGAGAGGTGTAAAAGTTCTGGGTGAGCCTTGAACACCTGTGGAATAAATGGAGCAGTATACTATGTTCATGAATGGGAAATTTTAATATTATAAACATATCAATTCTCCCCAAATTTAATTATACATTCCATTAATGTGTTTATAGGATGAGATAAATTGATTCTAAAATTCATATGGGAGAATAAAAGTTCAGGAATAGCCGAAGGCAACTTTGCTGAAGAAGAATGAGAGGAACCTGCCTTATCTGTTTCAAGATGTATTGTCTAGCAACAATTAAGACAGCACAGTGCTGTCCAGGTTTAGACAGATACGTCAGTGGGACACGTGGGGGGTGCAGAAATGGACTTGTGTGTAAGCAGGACTTTAGTAGCAGTAGAAGCAGGTTTAAAAATTAGTGAGAAAGGATGGGCTGTTTCATAAATGGCATTGGGTAATTTACTTTCCATATCTATAACATCAAAATAAAGTTAGGGACTTACGTCCTACCATATCCAGAATAAATTACAGATGAGTAAAGTTTATATGTGAACATGAAAACCTGTGGTAGATTCAAGATGGCTACAATTCTTTGCCATTTCCCTCATGCAGAGATGGAGTGTAATTCCCCTGCTTGAAGCTGGACCAGCCCTATGCCCTCTTCACCTATGTGGAGAAGTCATGCTGAGACCTCCGAGGCTAGGCCACGAGAAGCCACATCTCTCTCCCTTCATCTCTTGGCCCGTGCCTGGGCACCCTATTCTCCAAGTAAATATTCCAGCTACCTGCTGACGATGAAGCCCATGTGAAGAGGACAGCCACTTGGAGAAGTGCTGAGACAGCAATGTTCCAGAAGGGTCTGTCTGGGGCCTTCCAGTGTCTCTCGCCTCCAGGGGTTCTGAGTCCCAGCTGCTGACTGCTTGTGGCTACATGAGAGGCCCCAAGTGAGGCCAGCAGAGCTGCCCAGCCAGATGTGGTTACCCACAGAACACAGAAGAATAACATGGCTATTGTTTTAAGCTACTCCATTTTGTGGCAGTTTGCTATGCAGCAGGCGGTGACTGAAGTGCTCCAATATACACTTTATGGCTACTGTGATGTGTTGAATTGTGACAGCCCCCACCAAACATATGTTGAAGACCTAACCCCAAGGTGATGGTATTAAGGGGTGGAGTCTTTTGGGAAGTGACTAATTCACAAGGAGTCTGCCCTCATGATTGGATTAGTGCTCTTATAAAAGAGGTTGAAGGGAATAGGGTCCTTCTATCCCTCTGCAATGTGCAGATACCTAGATAGCATCATCTATGAGGAACAGGGCTTCACCAGACACTGAACCTGCCAGCACCTTAATCTTGGACTTCCAGCTTCTAGAACTGTGAGAAATACATTTCTATTGCTTATAAATCACCCAGTCTCAGGAAGTTTATTATAGCAGCACAAATGGACTAAGATATTCCAGTATTTCAGAATGTGACTTTATTTGAAGATGAAGTCTTTGCAGATGATGCAGTTAGTTAAGATGAGGTCACACTGGAGTAAGGTAGGCCCTTAATCCAATATGACTGTTGTCCTTATAAGAAGAGGGACACTTGGGCAGACAAGAGACACACAGAAAGAAGAAGACAGGGACCTGAGGGCGGAGGCAGAGATTACAGCCATGGGCCAAGGAGGCCTGGGGCACCCAGAAGCTGGGAGAGGCCCAGGAGGAGTCTCCTTCTGAAGCTTCAGAAGGAGCGTGCACAGCCCCGCCTGTCGGTCCAGCCAGCCCTAACTGTGAGCCCCTCCTGCCAGCAGGACCACTCAGACCTACTTGAAACCTCAAAAGCCTTTCTAGTTCATTGTGAACCTCTGGAGGGCAGGAACCAAATCTTAATCATGCTTGTGTCCCCCCAGGCTTGGCACTGTGGCTTGTGTGAAAGTCACTCATGCTAGGAATATCCTGACAAACAGAGCCAGGAACCCATGAAAGGGGATCTGACACCTGCATGCCTGAAAACAAAAAGGACCCTGGGAAAACCACAACCTTGCACAGTGGCCATCGCAGCCTTACGCAAAAAATACTTCTGCAAGAGCATGTGCTCAGAGACTGCCTGCACAACCTCAGACTGCTAACAGTCTGACAACTATCACAATAACTAACAATCACCTTTGTCACTGATCTTTGTAGCCACAGATCTCAAAACAATTATGTAATCCTCCTCATTTTCCCTTTAATAAACTTAGTCTTCCTTTATCTCCCCAAATATGCACATAGTTTACTATCGCACATATCTTCCCACTGCAATGCCCTACTCTGAAATAAACACCTTTTCTTTTAGAGAGCCTCTGTTTATTATTTAGGTTGACACTTGCATGCAACAGGCATTCAATAAGTATTGAATTCTGTTCAATAAATTCTGTTCTGAGGAAGAGGCAGTGGTGGCTGAGACAGAGCCTGGACCACAGAGTGTCCACTCCCACTCCAGCCCCAGGTGGCTGTGGATGAGCAGGTGCGAAATGCCTTCCCTCCCAGAAGTCTCAGCACCCATCAGAGGAGGAAACTGAGAGGACACGGCAGGCTAACCTGCTCAGGGTCACACCTGTCCCAGGTAGGCCAGGCCTGAATTACACTGCCGACCAGGGCTCAAATCAGAGCGTTCCTTCTACCGCTGCAATTTCTCTGAAAAATACTAAATCCCACAGGCTGAATATTGTAAAAGCATTTCAAGGTTTGTTATGTTAAAAAAGGAAAGAGGGGAGATTTCGCTAGAAGTCATTGCAACCTCCAAAATAAAATTTTCATTCCAAGTTTTAAATAAACAAACTGTCCACTTTTCAGACACAAATAGGATAAAAGTCTTCTTGCAAAGGGAAAAAAACAAAAACTCGCACTAGAAAGCGCTCCCACCTCCACCTCCCCAGCCAGTAAGAGTCTTAGGATGGGTTTCCACGGCCGCTCATTCAAGGAAAACTGTTTACCATGACCTCGGTTGGCGGCCAGAGGTGTGCACCCGCAGAGACGCAAATCATCCGAAGGTGGGGTGTAGGAGGTCGCCGGCTTCACCTAAGGACAGCGGAACAGAGAGGCGTCTCCATGTCTTGCTCCTGGACGCATGGCTGTGGTCGCCTGGTCCTTGGCCTCGCTCGGGGCGGGGCGACGGCCCCTGCGGTTTGGGTCCCCACATCACATCAGTTCGTAGGAGAGGCGGAAGGAGCTTCTGGAACTTTCGTTTTCCACCCCGGAGCAGTCCTAAGCTTGGAGCTCGAAAGATCGCTTAAACTGGACTGGAGAGCGCGCCCCATGGGACGAACGGAAACTCAGGTCCACAGAAAGAGCGAAGTCCATTGGGGGCCGGGGCGTCCGGGAGGTGGGTGGGGACGGGCCAGGGGCGGGGCGGCCGAGGGGAGGGTGAAGGCGGGGTGGGGGCGGGGCGAGGGGCGGGGTGGCTCGCCGCGGGCTGGGCACTCGACGTGGGCGCACCGCTGGGTCCCAGCTCCTGGCCTGGCGCGGAGACGCGCTTCCTCCTTTGCGCTCCCGGGCATCCAGAGGGGAAGGTCCCTGAGGGTTCACGAGAGTGCGGGGTCACCGTGAGTCCAGGTCCCCGCGAGTCCGGGTCCCCACGAGTCCGGGGTCCGGGCGGTCTCGGGGCAGCGGCCCGCTCCTGCAGCTGCGCTCCGGGCTCACGAGCCCACCAGCCACGGGGAGGGGCGCGGAGCGCAGGAGGGCTGCCTGCGGGACGATGAGGAAGCCCGACGGGAAGATAGTGCTGCTGGGGGACATGAACGTGGGCAAGACGTCGCTGCTGCAGAGGTACATGGAGCGGCGCTTCCCAGACACGGTCAGCACGGTGGGCGGCGCCTTCTACCTGAAGCAGTGGCGCTCCTACAACATCTCCATCTGGGACACCGCAGGTGAGGGTCGGTGCCGCAGGAGCCACACTGTCCTCGGGGCTCCGCAGGGGACGGGGTGGGGGCGCGGGCCTTCCAGCAGGTGTTCTCGAGGATGGCGTCCTTCAGGGCAGGTGTCCCCCAGGTCTGTTGTTCTGGGCTGCGCACAGGGTTCCGACCTCAGGCAGCAGACGCCGCAGTTTCCGGGAGCGATCACCCTTAGCCCCTGTTTCCACTTGTCCCCCTTTGCTGGTTGAGAAAACTACCTGTTCAGCCACTCCGTGCGCCTTAGCGACGATCAAGGTTACCCTGGGAAAGCACCTGGCTCCAAAGACGGAACCTGCCCGCCACTTGAGTCTATAAGTGGCCTTTGGCTCCAGGGCGCCGCTTGCAGCGCAGAGCTGCACATGGCGACCAGACGCGCTGCTTTGTCGCTGCTTTAGTATTTTCAGGTTTTAAATACCCTCAGGAACATGATCTCACTTGATAGTAGTAACAGCGTTGAGGGGTGAGTAGATCTAGTATGATTAGCCTTTCTTTTTACAAAAAAGGAAACTGAGGCACAGAGTGTTTCCCCTCTCCTGGGTTTAGTCAGGAGAGTAGGATGTAGAGTTTCCAGATCTCTTAGTCCAGACCATATCTGCATTTTAGAGTTTACTTATCGTCTCTGCTTGATGCTGGCTCATATATGTGTCTTGTAGGTTTGGAGTGATTTCCTGTAGATGCATTTTTAAGATAGTAATGAATTATTTTTAGTGTGTGTAGTATTTGTGACTTCTCAGAAGTACAACTTAGAGGATCTTAACTCAAGCTTTCTCTTAACTCAAACTTTGCAAAATAACACTGATGATCATGGTGTAATAATGGAATGTATTTCCTTCCCCATGAAAAAGAGGAAATACCCTAAGTAAATGGAGAGACTGGAAATGGTATGATACATTTTCAATGAATGTGGGGTTTTGGAAGCCTGAAACTTTAAGGTTCAGACTTCTTTTATGTCAGCACTTTAAAAAGTCATATACCCAAAGGTCCTGTCCAGGATTTTTAAATTGCCGTCTTGGGTGCAGCAGTCTGCTGAATAAACAGGATTATAATGAATTCTCTATCTAAAACTGAATTAATGAAGTTCAGCCAGGCACTTCCACTCCTCCCCCTCCCTTCTGCTTTCTTTGATGCCTTCTTTTTCTTTATTATCTCTGTTAACATCATGACTAAATTATTTGCAATGTCCCCCAGGTATGTTCCCTGCTCTTTTCTCCAACTCCCCTTTGGCGCAGGGCGAGGTTCCTCTGTGATCCTTGCCTCAAGCTGACTCCCTCGCCCTGGGCGTTTGGTGTGGGTGGAAGGCCGCTCTGGAAGTGGCATGCAATCACATTCCCAGTACTTGTCCGCTGGCTTTGTTCAAAGCTTTGCCCCTTCGCTCCTTTCGTTCATTGGCTGGACGTTCCTGCTGCACTTGGTTTACCCGTGGATAATGCGGGATTGGCGTTGGGGGACACAAAACAAGGCCCCGTAGTGGCCAGACTGGAGGCAGACTCTTTCCACACGGGCGATGTTTCCGCAGCAGGTGTGGAGGGCGGTGTTAGAGCAGGCTCCTGCGTTGGAGGGTGAGTAGTAGCAGTTTCACTCCGACCCGTGGCTTCCTTCTTTGGCACCAGGGACGTGATGCAGCCGGAACCCTGAGCACCAGAGGATTTTGTAACAGCGCTGATGTGATACCTAGATACCTCAAGGGTTCCCGGGGGCGGCAGCTCATTTCCTGGCTGCGAAGGCTGCCGCCCTCTCATTCCTGGAACCCTGAGTGTGAACTCAGCAGGGCCCGTCTCCGTCTCGCATTCCCAGCCTCTTGTGTGCACAGGCTCAGGGCAACCGGGTCTGAGTCAGAGGAGTCGGAGGGACTCGGGTCGCCCCGTGCCTGTCTCCGCAGTGGTGGGCTCATAGAATACTCGAGGGGAAGAACGGTAGGAACTTATGTCTTTTCCATAATCCTCGTTGCAAATTCAGAATTTAACTTTTGGGGCCCCTGCTTTTTCCCTCCTTTTGTCTAGCTCTTAAACTTTCTTTCCAGCCCGCAGACTTTGCTTTTTAAGTTGCTTTTATTGTCACTGTCATAACCAAAGCAGAAGGCTGAGGACCAGAGGGAGGAGAAACCGCTTTTACTGCTGCTTTCAGCAATAGGAGGCTGCGGTGTGGGCGGTGGAGAGCGTGCCGATGTTTAATCGAGGAAAAGAAAGCGATAGTAAGATGATAAGGGTCAAAATTCCTGTTGCAATTTCCTCTCGCCTTTTCCAAAACACCCAGGACGTGGCTGCTGGCAGAGGCCCGGCGGGTGGTGGGCGGAGCTGGACGGGAAGGGATGAGCTGGGTTGGGAAGTACTTTGTCTTGTTCAGCTGATTGGAGAGCCCTTCTGAGGTAGAGACGGAGGCTCATCGATGTTAAGTGGGGTTCAGCCCTTGGTCTGTCTCGCCCTGCCTGGCCCTGCCCACCTCCTTCCCTCGTGCCTTTGTCACTCCCCGCTGTGTCTGGCTGGGCAGACAGACGTGGAGCCGTCGCGGTGCCCAAGTTGGCAAGTCCAGGAAGCAGACGGGGTTGCCCAGAGAGGAGACACAGCCCTGAGAGAACCTGCCACTGCCCTCCTCTCTGTCACCCCTTGGTCAGAACAGCCTAAAATGGTGCTGCCCGTCACCAGCAAACGTCCCATGAGCGCCCCCTCCGTGCCCGGCACCCTATATGCCTCCCTGCAGCAGCCACACAGGCTGGCGTTGCTGTGTGTGCTTTGGGTTCAGAGGCGGGGATGGCAAAAAAGAAATAAATGGTACAGTTTCCCATCTGATAATGTTTTGGAGAAAACACAGCAGGGCAGAGAGAAAGTGGCTCGTGTGCCCGTGGAGGCCACATCACCAGGTCCCTGGAGCCCTGCTTATCTCTCTGCCCTGCTTCCTCGGGGCTGTAGCCCTGACAGTGGCCGATGCCTGACTCATGCTTGCAGCCCAGTGCTGACCCTGAAGACCAAGTGCAGGAAAGCAGTTAACAAACCCAAGCCCAGTTCCCTACTCATCCAGTTTCCAACTGCTGCCGCAGAAACTTTGCTGTTGGGATAGAGTGAATATATTTTGCATGTGAAACAGGGGTCAGTCTTTGGGGGCCAGAGGGCAGACTGCGGTAGACAGAATAATGTCCTCCCAAGATGTCCATATCCTGATCTCTTCAAGGAGTCCCCGTGTGGCGGGATGCTCTGGCCTTTGGGTCCTTCTGAGGCTTCATAAAAGGTTGCCGCCACACCCACAGCTTCCTCCCTGGAGCAGGCTTTCCTGACAGGGCATCTGCCTGTTGGAACTTGCCCAGCAGCCTGGACAACTGAGAATTTCCCTAATTGTTAAGTCCTCTCTTCTTTGCTAAGTGAGTCTTCCCTCAGTCCATCTCTTTCTTCCACATTTTAGAATAAACAGCAAGAACAAACTGGGCCCCACCTTCAACATTTGGCTTGGGAAGCTCCTCAGCTAAATCTCTAACCCCAGCATGCAGGTTTTGCTTCCCACAGGGCCACAGGGCACAATTCAGCCGAACTTTCTAGCACTCGAACCCTTTCCTCCACTTTCCAGTATTGTGTTCCTCATTTCCGCCTGAGGGTTCTAAGCAACAGTGCCTTTGACACCTGTTCTTCTACCTATAATCTATTTGTGCCAACTTAGTTGTTCTTCAGGGGATGCAGGTTTCCTTGTGGGCCATCACCAGCAGAGCTGCTGACCCCCATGTTTCCACTGCCATCTGTGCAGGGCGGCCTCGGTGATGCCCTCACGCCCCTCACACTCTCCTGGCTTCTGAGCTTCCTATCACTGCTGTAACAAATCAGTTGCTTAAAACATCACAAATTCATTACCTTACAGTCTGGAGGTCTGAAGTTCTAAATGGGTCTCTCTCACTGGGCTAAAGCCAAAGTGTCGGCAGGTCGCATTCCTTTCTGGAAGCCATTGGGAAGAATCTGTCTCCTTGGCTTTGCCAGCTCCTAGCACCTGCCCCATCCTGGCCTCTTCATCCTCTCTCTGGAGCCAGCAGTGGCCGGCCAGGTCTTACATGGCATCACCTGGCCCTGGCAGTCCTGCCTCCCCTCCACATCGAGTGGACCCTGTGGTTACGTTGGACCCGTCCTCATAATCCAGGGTGACTCTTTGTTTTAAGGTTGGCTGATCAGCGGTTTTAGTTCCACCTACAACCGTAACGCTCCTTGCCGTGTGACGTAACATACTCGCAGCCTCTGGGATTAGGACCATGTCGGGGCTGTTGTTCTGCCACCACAGCCATGACTGTGGTTGTGTCACCTCTCTCTGCCCGTGTCCTCATCTGCAATGAGGGGATGATGGTGGCACCCACCCAAAGCATTGTTAGGAACCAATGAGTTGACATTGGCCAAGTTCTCAGAACAGTACCCGGAATGAGGAAGCACCAAATAAGTTTTTGCTAAAGAAACAATTGTCCCCCTGCCCTAGGAGCTTAGTGACAGTGGTTACCACCAGCAGGCATGGCTCAGAGGGGCGAGAGAGGCTCGGTGGCCCTGATGATAAATCTGTCATAAATGAGGAGGTCAAAGAGAGGGGAGGAAGGAGTAGGAAAGCTTGTGGTTAGCAGTGGCTAACGAGTTTGAATAAAACTCACCCGAAGCGAGATGGGGACTCAGGCATCTAGAAAGTCTGCAGTATTTAACTTCCGCCTTTGCTGTCTGGAACCAGGCAGGGGCCTGGTGAGGACGGGTTTGACTGCAGGGGCAGAGCTGGTTCACTCTGTACTTCCCCATGTTCGCCCTGAGCCAGGAGGGAACAATTCCTCAGTCTTGGCAGGAAGTCTAAGCTTCGGTTTGAGCCTGGGGACCCATCGTCCTTGGTGGCAGAAGCTCAAGGACAGGTGTTGGGTGAACATGCCAAACAGAGGCAGACGCGCCCCCTCGCCTCGTAGTCAGAGGCGGAGTTGGGGTGCGAATGGCTCTGGGCCCCAGGGGACAAAAGGTGGGACTGAGAAAGTGGGGCTT